GGTATTTTGGGGAACTCACTAAGCTTCGTGCTTACCGTGTTATGTGTTATGTGTCTCAGGTTTTCCCAGGATCGCGGGAAGGCACCGGCTCGATTGTACACACCAGTGGAAGAGTTATGTTTTCGAGGATCCTGGATTTTAACCAATCAATTATGAATTTTTAAAAAGTGTAAACTTAATAAATGAGATTTTGTGAAATGCATTATGAGAATTACGTGGTTGTAAATCAAAAATTTGTTTTGAAAATTTACGTTGTTACACAAAATCTATTCCACAAACCTCCATCTTACTCTCAGATGCGTGTCTTTGGATGTTTATGTTTTCCTCATATCCCTACACCTCATAAACTTACACCAAAATCCACTTTATGCATCTTCTTCGGTTATCCATCTCAACATCGTGGATTTCAATGCTTGTGTCTTGAAGCACAAGAAATAATCATCTCTCGTCATGTCACATTTAATGAAGTTGTATTCCCTTTAAGATTTATGAAACCTGATTTTCCCCCGCCGTATGACTTCCTTGACAATTTTGACGCCATCAACCCCAATTCTCGCCTGTTTTGTACCGCTCTTACTTAACAATCTCACTCACCCAGTGCCTCAGAAAACTCGACAACCAACACATCTGCCATATCAGCCGACGTTGTTACCACGTCTGCCCCCGAGTCTCCTTCCCCTTCGTCTTCCAGCGACGATTCTGCATCGTCGCCTGAAGCAGCATCTCATATTGCTGCCATTCTCTCGGCTTCTCCATCTCCCGAGGCTCCCCCTACTCGCGATCCTTTCAAGTCGGTCCATCCCATGGCTACTCGTTCACATCATGGAATTATTAAACCCATTCACAAACTTAATCTTCATGTTGATATTCCATACCATGTACTCGTAATTACTTATAGGACTTTAAAGATCCCAATTGGCTTAATGCTATGAAGGATGAATATAATCCCCTTGATTCAAATCAAACATGGGTTTTGGTTCCTCTTCATAATGGTACAAACATTATAAACTACATTTGGTAATTTAAGAAGATAGAACATGCTGATGGATCTCTTGCTCACTACAAGGCTTGTCTTGTAGCTAATGGTCGCAGCGAACAGCCTGGTATTGTCTGTGATGACACTTTCAATTCCGGTGGTTAAACCCACCACTATACGCACTTCCCTCACACTTATAGTTTCTCAACATTGGCATATACCACATCTTGATGTAAAGAATGTATTCCTTCATGGTGCTTTGTGTGAAACAGTCTATATGCACCAACCTTCTGGTTTTCGGGACCCGTGATACCATAATCATGTTTGTTTGTTGCAAAGATCTCTATATGTTATTGAACAGGCCCCACGTGCATGGTTTAAACGTTTTGCTCAGTTTGTTTGCATGATTGGGTTCATGAACAGTTGATGTGACTCTTCATTATTTATTTACCAATATAGGCATCACACGACGTATCACTTACTTTATGTTGATGACATTATTTTCATAGCCTCCTCTCCAGGCCTTCTACAACAGATCATTGCCACGTTGAGTACCGAGTTTTCTATGACTGGTCTTGGGGGCATTAATTTTTTCTTGGGTATTAAGGTCACTTGAGATAACACGAGTATGTTTTTGTCTTAACAAAAGTATGCATTAGAGATTCTCGAACGTGCAAACATGATGAATTGTAAACCATCTCGGACACTAATGGATACATCTGTGAAACTTGACCCATCTAGACCTCATGTTGCTGATCCCATTATATATAGAAGCCTTGCAGGGGCTCTCGAATACCTCACCTTCACAAGACCATATATTGCCTACGTGGTACATCTAATATGTTTATTCATGCATGGCCCTTGGAAGCCCCATTTTACGTCTCTCAAGTGTATTATTCGTTATGTTTATGACTCTGTTGACCATGACTTATAATTATTTGTGTAACCTACCTGACGTCTTATTGCGTAATCTGATGCTGATTGAGTTGGATGTCCCACTACTAGGCACTCAACATCCGGATATTGTGTGTTCTTGGGACAAAATCTCATATCTTGGTCATCTAAACGACAAGGTATTGTGTCTCGTTCCAGTGATGAGGCTGAATACAGGGGGTCGCTAATGCTACTGCCGAAACGTGTTGGATTCATAACCTTCTTCGAGAGCTTCATCAACAGTCATCTCGAGCCACGATTGTCTATTATGATAATGTCAATGATGTTTATATGTCTGCAAATCCGATTCAACATCAACACACTAGGCACATAGAGATTGAACTTCACTTTGTCCGAGAGAAAGTTGTTATGGATTGGGTTCATGTTCTCCATGTTCCTTCGTCCTCTTAGTATGCGAATATCTTCACCAAGGGTCTTCCATCTCCTATTTTTCTTGATTTTCAGTCCAATTTGAACATTCAAGACCAATCGAACATTCGGATGAGTTTTGAGCATAACAACATTCCCATGTGATCATGCAACCCTAATTGCTTTGGATCTATGCTTTTCTCTAGTTATACATGCAAATAGAAATTCCAAAGCAACAACTCTAATGCTAGCATACAATTCGAAATCTATATGAAAACTAGGGTTAGAATATTACCTTGCTTGCTATCTAGTAATAACAAGAACTCCTTGGATAATCTTGACTCTTGAAAGCTTTAGTGCCTCAAGTGTTGCACCTCTAATGGAGTCACAAACACCAATAGCAAAGGATGAAGGAGAGAGGTGATGAAGCACTATAATTTCTAGCTAGGGTTCTCTTAGAATGCATGGGGCCGAAATCACATGCTAGGGGTCTTTTAAATAGCTGAGGCTGCTAGGGTTTTCAGGTGAAACCCTAATTTCTTTACTTAAGCCTTAAGCAGTCCATGGACCTACACCTTAGAAGCCTTGGACGAAATTCTATAGGGCCTCCTATAGATTTCGTCCACTCCCTTCTAGAGGAGTCCATCAACCCAACTCTACAACTATCATTGATTTGCATAACAATCTCCGTTCTTTTAATCAGTTCCTTTAATCCCAAAATTAATTCCAAATTAATTTCTAATTAATACTAATTAAATAATATGATTTCTAATTAATATATTATTCTTATAATATATTAATAAATCATTCATTAACCTCTTTCTCCAAAAGTCATCATGTGAAGTTGCTATGGTGAAGGCAACCCAAAAGGACCATGCTACTATCAAATCAAGTACATACCTTATAGTTATGAGCTTAGACACCTAATCCAACACATTCCAACTACATGAGGATGTTAGTATAGTTAAGTATTTGTATTTGTAGTAGTATATTCCGAGGCCTATTATTCTATTAGTATCAGTGACGGAGCTTGAAGTTTTGATTTGGGGGGGGGGGGGCGAAAATAGAATATGTGTAAAAATTAAAGAACAGGGGGGGGGGAAGTCAAATTTTATAGTTTTGGCATAATATGTAACTTTTTTAATAGTGAAGGACTAAATATTTAAAAAAAATAGGGGGGGGGGGGGCACAGCCCCCTTGGCCCTATATAAGCTCCGTCAATGATTAGTATGACCTAATTCAAATGTAATTACCCTTGTAACACTATTTATAGTTGTGATTAATGAAATGAGATCCGATGGGAAATTAACCCTCGTACATTAAAAAATAAATATTTTTTTTATAATCAACTATTTATTTATAATCATCACGATACTACATATTTAACCACAAGGGTGGTGCCAAGTTGGTTTAAGCATGCTCCAAATATTTTCAAATGACTAGGAGGTCACATGTTCAAATCCAAGGACATTTGTGGCCACAAAAGGTTTACCCGCAATGACTCCGGGCTACTCGCGAAGCGGGTAGTCGCCTGTGGATTAGTTGACTCGTAAAGCGTGTCGGAACCTCGGCTCCATAGGAGGCAAAAAAAAAACATTGCCAAATCATCACTGACGTGGACTCACTTAGCAAAAACAGTGTCGTTTTATGTACGAGGCTTAGGGGCAAGATTGTGACGGTCCAATACCGCCCCCTTATAAAAACCAAGCACCGGTGTCCTAAAATGACCAAAACCAAAAGAATGTTACCCTAATTCTACAAAAATCCTCATATGCCTTATACCCTAATCGTCAACAATGTAGTCATCTACAAAGTATAAAGTATAGTATTTTTTCGAAGTAGTCGCCTTTATAGAAATTCTTTTTTTTTTACGAGTTTCACATGATAGATGGTTATAATGTGAGCTATAGTTATTATTATTATTTTTTCCACATAGATCTTTTGAGATTTTAGAAGCTTTTAGCTATTAGTTTTTACTGGAAAAACTAAAAAAAAATCATTCTACAATATGATGTTATAACTTTTAGGTTATGTTTGACGTAGTGACTGAAAAACTAGATGTTAGTTGAAAAGTTAGCTGATAGCTGAAAAGCTAACTGTTAGCTGAAGAGCTAACTACTAGCTGATAAAAAATAACGTTTGGTAAAAACTAGCTGACAAGCTAACTGAAAGATATAAAATGACATAAAAAGTCATTTAGAAAAATATGATGTTTATAATTAATTAAGAGTGTATTTGATTTTTTTTTAGAAAAGCTTATGAAAAGTTAGTCCAAGTAGTTTTTTAAAAAGCTAGCTTTTAAGCTACTTTTTGGCTCGACATAAAAAAACTCGAAAAATAAGCTAGCTGTGGCGCAAACATAACCTTATTCTAAACAAAAAAACTCATAATTTTAAAATTACTTTAAATAGCTATTAAACCTTTTTAATTTTAATCTGATTTTACACATTTAAAAATTAATTACTTTTACAAACACTCATCTACGATTAAAAATTTACAAACACTCATCTACGATTAAAAACTATCAGCTTATATTTAGTTTCTAAAACACACCGAAAAAAGTGATATATGAATTTGGAAGATTAGCAAAAGGAGATTGAGTAACCATCTTGAAAAGCAATTCCGCAAAAGTCAAAGAATCACGAACCGAATCAATCAACATTGAAAGATGAAAAAACAATGAAAATAACCCGGCCCAAATCGTTTGCATTTGCAGAGGTCCAGCCCACTATTCACAGAGAGGACGAAGTAGTTTTTACAAATCTTAGAGAGAGAAAGCTTAAGAGAGAGAAGATCGAGCTCGAAGAAGAACCAGAGCAAACATTTTAAACATTTGTATACACAAATCTACATACCGAAGAAACGCATGTATATTAGGCATGTATTATCTTGTGAGTGATTAGGGTTTCCAATTTCAAAAAAGGGTGAGTTCAATCATATGTTATCGTGTCCTGTATTTCTAGGGCAAAAAATTCCTTTGATTTTTAAAAATTGGTGCAACTTATATCGAAGGAAAAGCGTAATAGGAGGGGTAAAAGTTTTGTAAGCTTGAAATTGTTGCAGAGCTCCTGGGAATTCAGGTATTTCTCGCAGAAACCCTAGAATTGGACGTAATGTTATGTGCTGTGTAAACCCTAGACCCGGGACTATATGGGATTTTCTTTTAGGGTTTATTGTAGGGCAGTGAGTTTGTGATTATGCAATTGCAGTGCCATATTGGTGCAATTTGATTGAATGCATGCCTTAAACTTGATCAAATGCCAAGTGACTGAACTAGGGTTGTTCTGTTTTATCATTCTTATTTCGAGCATGGTGTGTTTTATAATGCTATTTGTCATTAAAGCCTCTCAAATGAGATTATGAATGTTTATAATAGATAGCTATTGCACATGGTCATGGAGTGTAGTGAACAATGGGGTTGCATTGGTTGGGGTTTGCAGATCACTCATATAAATTGTGTTCATTTGAGTTTATTTAGGTCGTGGTTTACTATGACTAGTTAAGTGGAGTTGAACTGCTTGATTGGATGTGACTTAATCAATAAATATTATTTTTTGGGTTAGCAAAATGATTTATGTTATGGTTATACTAATAATGAGACAATATTTTAGAAAATTTCCTAGTTTGTTTGCTTTTTTCATCAACATCATTCAATGCTTGAAATGTTGGGCCCATAGATACTGCCTGTGAGGTCATTTATCTTTCTTTCCTCATGTGAAATCAATCGCCAGATGAGATATAACTTCCTATTTTGGCTCCTTTACCTCTCACTTTCGCTAGGAACACATGATTTGTTAATACAAACATATTCCACAATACATTAGTATTTAGCCTTCATCTGCATAGGTCTTCCAAGACTCAAGTAATATATCATTAGCATTTTCCTTCTTTTTTTTGTGTGTGAACATGCAATATCTATATGGTCATTCTCTTCTCTCTTTCTCTCCCTGTATTTCTATTTAGTTCTTGAAATCAATGGGAGAGAAACGCTTCTAGGTTATTATAGTGGGAATGCATGGATGTGCTTCAGGATCTCTGCTTTTAGTCAATGCTGGGGTTGATTCCATGGGAGGAGCTATTGATGGTGGAGTTGAAATCTCTTCTGCACCATCTCCTCACCAGTCATCAGTTCTTGAGAAAACACAAGCAGAGCTTAGGTAGAACCACTGTTCTTTGTGTTTGAAGGTGTTTCTTTGATTTCCTTTTTCTTTCTTTTAATCAACCTCACAGTTTATAAATATATTGCAGGGAGACATTCAGCGCTGCTGAAAAATATAGAAGAGAATTAGAGTTTTTACAGAAGGTATGGTAACTTTTTCATACATTGGTAGATTCTATTTGTACGTTTGAAGCATTTTATCTTTAAGCATGTGATAATTTTGCAGGGTGGTGATCCATTAGACTTGAAAGTTGGAACTGCAGCATCAGTTAGCCTGCAGTCCACCTCGCTGACAGATCAACATCCTGAGCAATTTGTGACAAGGTTTATGTCTATCATTTAATGAGGCAATGGTTATTTTACTCATTTTCTGTAATGTCATCATCATGATTAATAAACTTACTCTTTTCTTTCATGGTACCATAGTGAAGTGAAAGGCAGTTTTGCAATAACCGCCTCACCTCATGGAGATTCTGTTGAAAGCAGTGGCAGATTAGGGGCTCTTTCAGTTGGTGAACCAAATAGTGCTGATAATCTTATGTTATTTGATGGAAACAATAAGTTTCGTGAAGTTGAAAGAATACTCACCAAAGAATCTGGAGAATCTGTTGCACTTGAACTTCCTAAAAAATCATATAAGCGTAGGATTAGGTCTAGACCAAATCGCCATGCTTCAAGGGATACCAAGGGATTGGTGCATAATGTAGAGAATCAGGAGCTCAAGCATTTGTCAAATTCCAATTCTTCCAACCCTAAAAGTCCTAATGTTGGCTTGACCCTCAAGAATTTAGGTTCCAACAGTTGTTTAGACATAAAATCAAATGGTACACAGACCCAAATATCTGATACTCAAGAAATCCCACTTTCCATGTCCCCTGTAGAGCCTGGATCTGTAGGGCATATAGAGCAGGAGAAATTGTCAGGTTCTGAGCACCCTCCAGATGTGGATGCACACACAGTTGATCACCTGTCTTTATTGGGTCAAACAAAGGGTTTTGACTCCAAATCATCATGCTGCCAAACCGATCAAAGTTTAGATGGTAATAGTAAGAATGAAGTGCCAAGTAGTATACAAAATGTTACTTCTAATGGGGCTATTGAACTTAATATCGCATCAAAGGAGGCACCATGCATGGAGGGTAGTGGTGTAAATACAGTGAAGGATGATAAGATATTGAGCATCAACAATGATAAGAATGAGATTGATCCGAAACTTAAGGAAGAGGAAGAAGGTTTGAAGGAATCTGAATCTGAATCTGCCTTGCAACATGAGTTGGATAAGTCTGTTTGCTCTACAGGTATTGATTTAGATGGCTGGACTACTTCAGAAATAGAAAGAAATCCTCTAGGTACAGATTGCACCTTGCTTCAAGAGTCTACATTGTCCCTTAGGTGTTCAATTGATGATGCAGAGCAAAACGTGTGTTCTCAAAACAATCTGAAATTGGCAACAAAGGAACATGAAGACTCAATTTTAGAAGAGGCACGGATTATAGAGGTCTGATCTTCTTGTTCTCTTTGTTTTATAAAGTTATGGCCTTTGATCTGTATCATGTACGAGTCTCCTTATTTGAGATTGTTTGTAAACAGGAAAAACGTAAGAGGATAGCTGGATTAACAGATGGAATCTTTAAATCAGAGAGTAATCATACATCACATTGGCATTTTGTTCTTGAAGAAATGTCATGGCTGGCTAATGATTTTGCACAGGTATAATTTTGTTATTGATCTCTAATGTTGACCTTATGATGTATCTTCCTCCTTTACACTTTGAAATGGATTGTTTAACTTAACAAATATGCATTTTCATTTTCTAACCCTTCATTTTTACAATATATAGTTTCTGGTTTGTTGTTTATGCAGGAACGACTTTGGAAGGTAACTGCAGCTGCTCAAATTTCTCAGAGAGCTGCTTATACTTCACGGGTCAGATTCCAACAGCAAAATTCTTCACGGATGCAAAAAAAGGTTGCTCATACTTTGGCAGAAGCTGTCATGGAGTTCTGGCACACACTGCAGGTGAATTAATAAGCTCTCAAATGATACTTTATTTAGAAAAATCAAGCACCCTCATACTTTAGCAACCACTACAAACTGTCTGTATGATTGATAGTAATCCCAAAGTTTCTCAAATTTGTCTTATTAATGTTACATTTTGACAGGTGAAATGCCATGGATTGGAGTTAGAGGGTGCTAAAAAAGATTCTATGGCTGGACTTGATCAATATGGGATGAGATTCTTGGAGTATAATAACTCCAATGCTCAGTACAACTCAGCTCAAGCGCCTGTTACTCCTGATAGGATATCTGATCTTGGCATCACAGACGTTTCATGGGAGGATAATTTGACAGAAGTATGCACATACCTACCTACCTTCACAGTTAACACATATTACACCATGCTTATGCAAGAAATAACAACATACTTTTATATAATTGTGCATTATAGCATCCTACTTTCATTTTTTTTATTACAACAATTTTTTTCTTATCAAGACAATACTTTGAAAAATCTACCCAATCATATCATTTTTAATTAAGACGTTATAATTTGGAAAATTTACCAGTTATAGCAGTGAAAATGGCTTTGTATTTGGACAACATTGCTATACTTTGGTGGATTTTTCAAAGCTGTAATAGGAAAAAGTGAAAAGTAAGATGCTATAATAAACAAATCAATGAAAGAACGTTGCTATTTTTTGAATTTAACCTTTTTAGCTAATATGCCATTACTACACAACCACATTGGTAGAAACAAAGTCGAATGATCTCTACTTCCATATTTTAGACAAGATATGCATGTGAAGGATTCTATTTCCTAGGGAAACAATGTTTGTCTATTTTGCCTGTTTTTCCTTTCTCTTCTATTAAATATTAATATAATTAAGTGTTTTTGTATGCAGGAGAACCTATTTTATATAGTACCACCTGGTGCAGTTGAGGCCTATAGAAAAACTATCGAATCTCATTTGCTACAATCTGAGGTAAAAACATATTTAGATGTCCTTATATTATTTACAATCTTCCATTTTTTGGTAAATTGTCGTCTTAATGTATAATCATGTGCCCGTTGTTTTTTTTATTGATTTTGGTCAAATGAAATCCTCTTCGTCATTTTTGAAGGGCATTTTAGGTATTTGACTAATAGTCAAACATTCTATTAAGTGTCTAATGATGTATGTTGCTCTTTGTAGAGAACTGGCAGTAGCATGCAAGAGGAAGTGGATGTCAATGGGTATGATGATGTTGCAGGTATTATAAGATTTTATGCAAGTTACATACATAACTCTTTATTTAGCAAATCAATAGAGTAAAATTCTAACCATTTAGTCTTTAAATCTCAAGATAATACACTTGAAGAGGATGAAGGAGAAACAAGTACATATTATCTGCCAGGGGCATTTGAAGGTAGCAGGATGTCAAAACCCACTCAGAAGAAAAGGAAACAGAGCCAACCCTTTAAGTCATATGTTGGAAGACCATACGAGCCAGGGGCAGATTTGTCATTTCCACAATCCCTTGAAAGAAATATCGGGACCCAACCTTCTGTGATAAGTGGGAAACGACCTGCCACCAGTATTAATGTTTCAATTCCCACAAAACGTGTACGCACTGCTTCCAGGCCGAGGTTTACTGGAGCTTCGGGTTATAATAATAATAATAATAATAATAATCAGGCACCAAATAGAACAGATGCTTCAAGTGGTGATACCAATTCCTTTCAGGATGAACAAAGTTCTTTACATGGTGGGTATCAAATACCGAATAATATGGAAGCAGAATCAGTTGGAGACTATGAAAAGCAGCTGCACTTTGACATGACAGAAGTATCAAACAGACCCAAAAAGAAAAAGAAGGCAAAAAACCTAAAACCTCAAAATATTTCATTGAGTTGCCACTATTCACTCCGACTTTTAATTTTATATATTACGACAGTTGCAGGGTTCCACATTTGACCACCGATGGCAGCTTGGTTCTAATTTTCAGAATAATGAACAGGTAATTTCTATTGTTTTCTTTTTGGTTAGGGATCCTCTCTTATTATTCTTTAGGATTTGACATCCATAATAACATTCTTGAATGTCCATTGAATTGCAGAAGGAGCACTCAAAGAGGAGGTTGGATACACGTCAATTTGATTCGAATGGAAACAGTGGTATACCTCTTTCTCTCATAGTTTTTTGGTTTTTTTCGAATAATGATTTGGCATCTTTCTTATACTAATTTGATTATTTTTTTGTTTGTTCTTCAGTGGGTTCTCAGATGAGTAATATGTCCAACCCCAATAAGTTCATGAAATTACTTGTGCGTGATCGTGGTAGGAAAGCTAAATTGCTTAAGGTATTATCAGGTCATAAATCTTGAAAAAGTTGTTATGATGCTTTTTCTTGTGCTCTAATCTTTTTCTCTTTGCAGACCCCTGTAGGGCAGCAGCAAGGTTCAGGAAGTCCATGGTCATTATTCGAAGATCAGGTTACATTACTCTCTATTTTTTTCTTTTTTACAAAAAAAAAAAAAAACTATATATTTGAACCATATAAACAACTCTTTGACACCTCAGGCCCTTGTTGTGCTGGTTCATGATATGGGTGCCAACTGGGAACTAATAAGTGATGCCATCAATAGCACTTTGCAATTTAAGGTAACTACTTTCTGGATGTAGTTTTGGTATCTTTTTTTTTTTTACACATAGTTAAAATATTTATTAAAACTGTTTTTATGTTGAAGTGCATTTCTCGTAACTCGAAAGAATGCAAAGAGCGTCATAGAATATTAATGGATAGGAACTCCGGCGATGGTGCTGATAGTGCTGAGGATTCAGGCTCATCTCAACCTTATCCTTCCACTTTGCCAGGCATCCCAGAGGCAATAATTTTATTTTTATTTTTATATTTTCTTTTTATTGGATTTTATGATTGTCATTGAGGTTGATGGTTGGTTTTGTATCTGACACAGGGAAGTGCAAGACAATTGTTTCAACGGTTGCAGGGACCCATGGAAGAAGACACACTCAAATCACATTTTGAAAAGATTATTGTGATTTCAAGAAAACTACATTATAAAAAGTCACAGGTGACTTTTTTTTTTAGTACTTGAGAGTTTTGAAAATCATCTACTTTTTAGATAGATTTTTCTGATCTTTGTTTTCTGCCAAAGAAGGATAATCAGGATCCAAAACAACTCCAGCAACCTCATGGCTCTCATGCACTTGCTCTTTCTCAAGTCATCCCAAATAACCTCAATGGTGGACCTGTCCTCACGTAAGTTTAATGTTTGTTTGTTTGGATCACTAATTCACTATTAGTATTATTAGTACCCCCCCTACTTTTGTAAAATGATCATAATCTTTGAATTATATCTCATGAACATGAAGGCCACTTGATCTGTGTGAACCGATTTCATCCACCCCGGATTTTCTTCCTGTTAATTATCAAGCTCCTCATATGGGTGCACCAATGGTTCCTGGGTCAACCTCAACCCCAGCTCCCTCACTACCCTCTTCTAATTTGGTGTTCAGCAGTCATTTATCCTCCACTCCATCTGGTTCAATTAGTCCCTCTGTTGGTGTTAGGGAAGGAAGATACGGGATCCCTAGACCAGGAATGGATGACCAGCATCGAATGCAACAATACAATCAAATGTTGTCTGCAAGGAACATGCAGCCTTCAACTTTACCTTTGCCTCATTCCGATCGAGGTGTTCGTGGTATGTTGCCAGGTGTCATGAACAGAGGGATGATGATGACAAGACCACCCCCGCTTCAAGGGGTTAATAACTCCAACCCTCAATCTGTCATGAATACCGGTCAAGTGAGATCTCGTGAGGCTGTGCATATGATACGGGTGAGAGTGGATTCTAGCATTTTGATTTGTTAAATTACGTGTTATATGACTTTGTGATGTTTTATTAAACAGAATCCTGATCAGCAAAGGCAAATTATGGTACCAGATGCTCAGATGCAAGTATCACAAGGTGGGACCACTCAAGGAATTCCCGCGTATCCAACTGGAATTGCTTCTTTCCCTCAACCACCTGTCCAGCCATACCCAATCTCCCCCCACATGCCAACTACCAATTCTCATCCACATCATCTTCAAGGACCACCACAAAATCCAGCTTTTGGAATGCGGTTGATGAAAGAGAGACAACTCCAGCAACAACGCTTGCGACAACAGCATTTTGCTGCGTCCAATCCCGTGACGCCACATGGACAACCACAACTTCCAGTTTCCTCCCCTCAAAGTCAAAGTAGCAGTGCGCAATCCTCACCGGTGACTCAACAGCTGCAAAAACCAGCATCCGCTGGGCTTGTGCGTAACCCTCAGACTGGCACTGGCGGCAATACGGTGAAGCCGCAGCGGCGTCCGCCACAGCAGTTCCAACCACCTGGCGGCAGGCCACAGCTGGCAGCTAAAGTTGTGAAAGGAAGTGGAAGTGGAAGAGGAACAGCTGGCGATAATGGGTTTGTTGCAGAGAAAGGTGAGATGCATCATATGGTGCAAAGTGGACCATCTGGATTGAATCAGAAGAGATTACCTGGTCAACCTCAACCACAGCAAAAGGTGAAGATGGGAATGGGGAGTCAAAGTCAACTAACAGCTGCTCAAAAGATTGTACTGCAGAATAGAAAAGCAAATCCTTCTGATTCACCTGCTGCAACTGCAAGCAAGCTGCAAGCTAGAGGAGCAACTCTGCCTTTGCCTTTGCCTTTAACCAAACCCAACTCTCAGACATCCTGTGATGATTCTGGGGATCCAAATAGGAAGGTTGAGTTTGAAACACCTGAAACTCAAACTGAAACAACAACCAATGCAAGTGCAAGTGCAGAACATGCGGTTAACCTTAAACAACAATCTTCATCAGACAGCAGCCGTCTACATAGCTAAGCTAATCACCTTCCCTGGCCCACTAATTTTAGATCAGGCCATTCAGATTGAGCCGGCTGCTGTTCACATGTAATACCAATGTACAGGTTTGTTTCACCTCACCTCACCTTTTTTTTTTCTGTAACGTTGCATAGACACATGTTGGACTAATGAGACAGAAATTGCAATTTTTTGTCACTCCCAACCAAAAAGGTAGAACAAGTTGGGAAACTTTCTCTCTCTGTGCAAATGACATGAATACCCTTCTCATTCTCTCATGGAAAATAGACCTAAAGAGCCTGTCCCGTTCCTTGTAACAAATGCAGACTAGGTGTTTGCTGTCTCTCTCTCTCTCTCTGTGTGTGTGTTCTTGTAACAAGGATGTTTATATGTAAGAAAGCCTTGTTTTCTACTTTGTGGTAAGTTGTTGTGTTACTTGTGTGTGCATTATTAGGTCAATGAAATACACATTTATATAATATATGTTACCAGATTAAGGGAGGAGGGAGTCGTTCCCTCCCAACCCACCGAACCCACTGCCACATCAATTTTTGTCTCTTCTTTTTCTTCATCTTTCCCAACCCACAACACACGGAAATCCTATCTTTTTGAACCCACTCAATTAAAAAAAATACAAAACAACTAAGGTACAAACTTTAAAACACATGGTACAAGAGAAAATAAGAAAGAGAAAGTAGAGAGAGATGATGAAGTGGGTTAGTGAAACCAATCAACCCACTCGTTGAAGCGGGAGTGGTACCGCCGATAACTCTATTGCTAATTAAGATTTTACATTTGATTGTTTTGTATTTTTTTTAATTTAGTGGGTTGAGTGGGTTCAAAAAGATAGGGTTTTCGTGTGTTGTGGGTTCAGAAAGATGAAGAAAAAATTGGGAGGGAATGACTCCCTCCTCCCTAAGGGGTTGTTTCTTTTTCTTTTTGACTCACCGAGCTTAATCTTGACACATGGCTGTTCCTTATTTGACTTAATCTATACAGCATGACATGACAGATTAAACCAAAAAACCTGGTTTAATCTATTCTGATACACACTCTTTACCTATTTGTTTTTCTACTTTTTTCCTCTCACGTTAAAATTGATGAATATTATTTGTTAGATTGCAAGGGTAAAATGGTGATTGAAATGTTGTATAACATATCTCATTATATGAGTGGTGATTCTTAATCTTGGTTGCAGATGACGTTCATAGTTGCATTCCGTCAAGCGGTTAGTAGGAAGATGAAAACAGGCTGCAATATTGTTTTCGATTGAAATTTCAAAGTAGAGCGGGGGTTAACCAGAGTAATGTTGGCAGGGGTAATTGTGGAATTTTGTATATAGGATCTCTCAGTCTCAGTCTCAGTCTTTGATGAGAGCCACGCCATGGAGAGGGATGGAGAAAGATATAGAGGTATGTGTGTACATAGTTTCTTCCCATCTCTCCTTTCCTTTGTTAAAAGATTTTGTTTATTTCTCTCATATTTTTGGAACCCATTGTATTAACTAATGCCCCTTTAGTAGTAGCAGTAGTAATAGTAGTAGGGGTATAGTTGTCATTGTTGTTGGCCAAACCAAAGCCTAAGCCTGAGGTGAGGTGGGGTGGGGGAATTTTGTAAATACTGCTAGTCGTTTTAGTGTGTAAATGCATGCAGATCAATGTTGTGTTACGTTACATGAGATCTTTGTTGCTGTAACTTGTTGTTTACAATTGACTTTTTTTCCACATGATGAAATAGTAACAGTTAGGGCAGGGATTTTTTTTTTTTTTGACAACTTGATTATCAGCAAGAACAAGGCTGTCTTGTAAGTGTTATTTCATCAAATTGCAGAAAATAGCAACGTACTTGAATTATGGAGCTTGAAACTTAAAAAAGCTTACAAGTGTTCAAAGTTAAAACTATGGATAAAAAATGCAAGTATGTTGTTATTATAGGTGAAAAATGCAAGTTGTCAATTATGGATAAAAATGTAAGTACATTGTTATTTGGGTGATGAGGCGAAGTCAAATGAGGCTGATATTTTTTCTGAGAACGTGAACCATTTGAGTGTATCAGATAAAAAAAAAACGGTTGTGATTGAGAGTGACTATTTTGCTATATTTTGTAAATTTAATGCTAATTGATTTAATTAGTGGTTTGACACGAGGGTAAAGCTGTCAAAATTATTAAAAAAAGTAAATATATCAAAGCAACTATGTTTATTAAAAAAAGCATCTAAAACAAAGTTATAAAAAAATGGGATCTAACTTTGTAAAAATTTTGCAATTTACAATTTTGGGTAAATCGTAGGGATCAGATTTTTAATTTACTCTTATAACTACAAACAATTAGCAAGACACCATCTTGCTAATTACTAAGAATTAAGGCAACATTTGAATAAATAATATATCTTCCAATTAGGTCTGTAGGTTCTTGAAAATGGACAATCGTTATTCTTACTCGGAATCATTGTTCCATATGGTTAGGAAACTACAAGGTTTTTGCGTCTTTATCTAGGTATGATCAGAAACTTCAATCACGGCATGCTAATGGTGCCAAGTTTGAAGATAGAAAAGACAGTTATGTTGGATACCAAGATAACAATTGTATCTAAAAAACTTATGCCAAAGTAGATTCATGAAAGTGTGATGAGGCAATGTATAGTAATTCCAAGGTGCATGGGAATGATATATGGTTGAAGTGTAATGATTGTGTTTTGAATCAAACTTTTTAATTATGTGTGGTTATTGGTAATGTTCGTGAGGTGTTATTCATTTCAAATTTGCATGTATTGTGCAAACATGAAGGCTTTATTGATATGGTTATTACGTATGTTGGAGGTTCATGGGTTTCATTAGAATTATCTTTCGTTGACACATGTCTTAAATTTCAAGCTAATATGGGTATTTGAAAGCTATTCATCGGCATGAACCCATGGTCCAAGCATTTCGTGTCAATGAGAGAATGGTGTGGATCAAGATTTGATGATCTACCTCTACATACAGGGGATACTAATTCATTCAAAAATTGTAGCATCTAAGTGGAGTAAAGTCATGTTTTGGACGATTTTAGGGAAGATTATGTTGTAGAAGGGTGTGCATTAAGACATTGTGCTTGACTTCATTGGGAAATCATTATGATGTTTATAGATGGTATTCCTTTCATCATGCGAGTCTTCAAAGTATCAGGATGGATACCAACGTTCAAGGATGAGGATACAAAATCATGCAAAATGAAGAGGTGGGTAGAACATTTTATGAGAAACTTAAATGAATGTGATTAATCATTGATTACTTGAATTAATTCACCCTCATATAGGTTATGTGAATTAATCCTTTAAAATTTAATTTACAAAATATTTTTATTAGAAAAACATTAATTAAGAAATCTTTTACGATAAAGACCTGAACGGTAAAATATGAAAATATATAAATGTCAAACAAATTCATCATATAAAAAGGTTAAGTAAACAACCTACATAAATTTAAGAAATCTTTTGTGGATAAAAGGACATCACTTAATAAATATTTTTATAAAAAAAGCATCAGTTAAGAAATATTTTGCGAATAAATATCTGAAAATATTTGATTGAAAAATCATCTGTAAGTGTAACAAATTAATCATAGAAAAAAATAAAGTAACAACTTACATAAATTTAATTCTAAACAACAATATATTCTAAATATCCAAAAGCTAAATTCATTTTTGGTTTTAATTAACTCTTTCAATCTGAATACATGTTAAAATACATAGGTTAGACCTAGAAAGCTTAATGAGTATCACCAATGTTTAATATTGGTTAAGTTCAAGAAATTGTCACATTCGTTGAACAATTTAAACCCCAAAACATTTTAAATCATCATAAAACAATAGATAAACATTATATGTGAAAAAGAAACATTGCAAAATATCATTAAAACATCATATACATAATGTAATGCTTTACATATATGGACGCACTGTAACTAGGATAATATGAATATCACATAAGATCCATACGAGATGTAGCTAGTCTCATGTGCAAGTGTAGTTGGGTACCCTTGACAAAAATGTTCACATAAGTCATCATCCCATCCTAAGTGAATGTACAAGTTCATAAAGAAAATCTAGTGCAAAACATTGTAGTTGTCCCTATTTTTAAGAAATTCATTTCAAAATCAGTTTCATAAAAGCCCATAAACAATCTTACTTATAATATTCACATAACATAGATAAGAAATATCTTCATCAAATCACCAAAATGAGATAAGGACATGTATTCTTGGTAATAAATCACCTTGGAAAGAGTAAGCACACCATTTAGGACATGTATTCTTGGTAATAACTCACCTTGGAGAGAGTAAGCACACATTTTCACTTCAAGTGTTTTTGGACACTTAGTGTTCGCCTAAGATCACCAATAATTCAAGTAATCAATGATAATCACATTCATTTCATCCTAATCCAATTTACTAACTTTAAATATCTTATTTTATACATTGCGTAACATTATTTAAGTATTAGAGGGATAATAGAGATAAATAGGTTTGAGTTGGACCAAATCCACCTGGCCTCTAAAATTGTGGAATGATGAAAATTTTAGTTCCAATCGTCCATTAAATTGGCCGCGATTATTGTGGAGAAAAAATTGACCGCCAAATATAGCGGCCAAATTACTTTTCCATTATATGTTAATATTATATTCAATAGAATTGCTTTAGAGGGTGTTTGAGATTTCATTTTGAAGTTAAAAAGGACTTTTATGTAAAAGGACTGATTGACTTATCAATGTGGGAAAAGAAGATTTTAAAAAAGTGTTTGGTTTAACTTTTTAGTGATAAAAGTCAATAACTTAAAAAGTGTTTGGCTAACTTATTGACTTTTGCTTGTTTTTTATTCTAATAAGTCATAAGTCATTCCAAAAAGTCACAAATTGTAACTTCTTCAAAACTTCTTTTCAAAGGCTAAACCAAAAGTTATTTTAAAAGTCATTATTAAGTATCCAAACATTTTTTTAACTTACTGACTTTTCAAAAAGTCAATAAGTTAAAAAGGAGACTTTAGATGAAATCCCAAACACCCTCTTAAACTATCTCGTCCAACACCCAATTATTTTTTCAAAATTGTTTTTCAATACAATATTATTAAAATAAGTTTAAGTGTAAAATTTTAGTATGCGGTTGGAGTGAAAACTATACTTTTTTTTTGTTAACAAGTCACAATTTTAGTGTTTTGTGGTTGAAGTTGGCCTTAGAGCAATTCCAACCACCCTCCATTTATCATCATTTTCGTGTTTCGGAGGTCAAAAATCGTCCAACGAACCTTCAAATTTAACATCATTTTTGTGTTAGTTCCCTTTTAACACCAAATATGAGGTCAAATATAAAGGCCTCTAAAAACACCATTTAAAAGGTTGGTTGGAGTTGAATCATTATTTGGTGTTAAATAGTCACTATTTTTGTGTTATGTGGTTGGAGAAGCTCTTAGGCAGGCCCAGCCCTGAGGTAGTGCCGGGTGTGCAGCACAGGGCCCCGAAAGAAAAAGGGGCCGAATTTTGTCTAAATTATATAATAAATAAATATATATTAAGTTGACGAAAACAAAGCATATATCTTGTATGATTTGGTTGGTTAAAACGCGTGATTTCTTTCCCAACTGGGTTCGATTCCCATATGCACCATTTTTACTTTTAAATCCTATATACGTTCATACCCTTTCAATTTAAATCCAAGATACACGTACATCCCCTGCTTTGTTCTACATTTTTTACAATCTACCCCTCCTTTTAACTTTTTTGCTAAATCGGTTTCTAAAAGTTACACATTTAATCCTAAATTTGTATTTGTGTCTTTTTAATCAATTTATTTACTTTTTAGATTTACATGACGCAATTCACCTCTTAAAATTATTTTTCTTTTATATAGAACATTTGTATTTAGGGGCCCATTTTTATCTTCCGCACCGGGCCTTCAAAACCAACGGACCGACCCTGCTCTTAGGCATAAAGATACTTGATCGAGTGGATATGTCCTTTCAATCCCGCTCAATCAAGTGGAGCTCAAACTTGCACATTTGAGCTAATTTTACTTAGAATCTGTCTAAACTCATCTAAATCAGTTCCAAACTCTTCCATTTCATATCTAGATTTATTAGAAGGTTACAAATTTCTATGCATGTTTTAAACCTTAATTAACTTTCTAATCTAATCTTTAAATCAAAGATTTATACTAAAATGATGATCTAATGGATTCATGTTGCAAAACTATGAGTACATCTACTAGAAATCACATAAGCTTCATTCATGATATAATACTTCAAAGATTCCTTAATTACATCAAACATGACCTTATTTGACGATTTAAACTATATATAAGATGTGATTTGATGTTCTAATGGATTCAATTTAGAAATGATATGATTTTTTATAAGATTGTATATCAGTTGTTTACTTGGTTGATCATCAGGAAAGCTAAATTGAAAGTAAGTTGAGTTTGTTAGTTACAAAATCCAAAATTGGCTGTTACCTTTTTGTAATTTTCTCTCTAGCTATTTGCTAGTTTAATATAATTTTATCGTCCCAACAGAATAATTGTAATTTTGATGTGATACAATATTCATATTAGATTAACAATTGACCTATTCTATTTTGAATTTTTGATTATTAAATTAAAGATCAAGTTGTATATTAACATTATGCTATGAACAAAATAAATTCCGATATGAATATTGCATATAGTTGAATTTTAACACTCGAAGATAATGAACTACTGGAAATGAGGACAAACTTCTGAAATAGATATGTATTCTTCTATGAATTAGGAGATGATGAACTTCTAGAATAGATGAAGACATGATGATGCATGATCATTACGGAATATCTGAAAAATTCTTATATGAATAGTGTATATAATTGTATATTAATTAACAGATGAAGATGACGATGAACTTCAAGAATAAATCGTATTTTTCTATGAATTCGGAGATAATGAAGTTTGGAATAGATGAAGACATGAAAATGTACGGAATAAAAAAAATTATGAAGCTATGTGACGTAAAACTTTAGAATTACTCATTCCTGATGAAGAAATACTAAACCGGTGAAGATGATAATAGAAAGAAAAGCATAAATCGATGAAGATGGTGAAGATCGGTTATTGATTATCATAACTGTATCAAGCGTGATATTAGAAAATAAAGTTTTTTTTTTCTTAATTAACTTGATTTTTTTTAAGGATAATTGTTGTTTGTTAAACAAGTTTACATAAATACCTATATTCGATTAAAAAATAACTTCAATTAGATCAATAATAAGCATATGAGTAAATAGCAATGTATATTTGGCGGAAATGTGGTGTGGAAAGAATGTCTTGCCCAAGTAGAAATGTTTTATTAGTTTGTTGGAGGTAAGATAATTATATATAAAGCTAATTTTTTTGTACACATTTGTATCCATTAATTTCAAATTCTTCAAAACAAATTTATTTCTGTTTACACCTTTCTGTAATGTTGATGTTGAGATTTCTGTTTTACAAGAAAATATTTAAAAACAATTAGAGAAACTGAAATTTCAAAAAAAAAAAAAAAAAAAAAAAAAAAAAAAAAAAAAAAAAACAAGAGTATATTTTATTTGAAAGTTCAACCATTTAAAGTCAATTTATGATGAACATTCTTTCTGTGACCTATAAAAAAGATTTTAATTTGCGATATTCCTGGGTTAATACTTAAATCCAACCATTTTTACGTGTAATTTGTTTTTATTATTTAGGCACTTTTATAAAAAAGATTCATCAATTAAACATGCATATTAATAATATTATCAACTAAATTATTTTTGTTTAATTTTGATTGGACTACCGAACATGATCCGCAGAAATATGCTTGATCATGCCCTCTATAGAATTGACCATTAATTGATTTAATTAAGTTTGAATAAAATAATACGACCCATGACCCATGGCCGATGGGATCGTGGAAATTTCAATTACAAGTGACAAATACCTATTTTATATTCGAAAAACTAATAAATGTGACCTCAAAAGTCAACATATATTCCTGTCTTCAATCATGGATCGAATCATTACCATTATGAATTATAAACTTCTTGGAACATTACATTCTAAAATGAAAAAGTAATCATTTTCGCCATAAACAACACATCAACCTATTCATTCCTGTCGACATGTTCTTCTTGGCGAATTATCTCTTTCTATGTAAACTATCTATGAACAAGTATTCATATGGCTTAAAGAACCAAATAGAAAACCTTCAACGATATTTGCCTTTGAAATTATCAAAATTCCAAGAAAAAATTTGTATTTTTCTATCACATTTTTGTGTATGTAAGTATTGTAAGTATGATCATTGATCACTGCCATCTTCCACTCGAGGCTGATTTTGTACGTCTCACCCAACACGAATTTGTTTTCTGTTTTTTCCAATTTAAAACGTTAAATTGCCAAAACACAAAGGTTTTTCAATGTCACATGAGAAATAAGATCATAACAAAATTTAAAATCGATAGCTTTGACTTACATTTAACGTGTCCCCTCTTAACGTCTCAATCGACTCCTCAAGTTCCATTTGTTTTGAAGCCGTTGCAAATAAAGCCTACAAAGTGAAATACAATAATTAATTAAATAAAACAAAAGACATGAATGCCCTCGTCCATATAACTAAAAAAATCCGTACTTTTTTTGTTTTTTGCAAGTCATACTCCATGCATCTTATACGATTCATCGATTCAACAAGCATTTCGTCTTTTTCTTGTGGGATTCTAGAAGGTTTACTTGAAAGCTCAGCCACCATTGCTTCAAGTTTTTTCAATTTCTCCTCACACGGATGCAAAAGCTCTTTTTCCTTTTCTAGACGACTCGAATCATTCACAAATTGGGGTGAAGAAGTTTCCTCGTTTTTTAACAATTTCATGATGTTTGTTGCTAAAAGTTTCAACAACCCAAAAATAAGAAGAAACGTATACACTAAAACTTCATATATAAACCCAAAAGCTTTCTTTACAGTTGATTCTTCTTCCATCGTTCTTGTTCGTGTCACGTCATCTGCTTCAATAGTCAAACAGTCAATGGTATTCACTCGAGATGACATATTTCATTAAAAAAAACACTATAAAATCAATTACTTACTTCTCGGAGTAACATCTATTTGAGTATTAGAAACCACTCGATCAACTCTTGTTTTATTGGAAACAGGCGGCTTGTTTACCGAGTTCTAAAAGACAACACAATAGACGATAATTATATTACTGATGTTTTTCTTGAATTATATATTATATATTTTTCTAAAAAACTTCAATTGTTTTTTGGATAAAGAAACACGTACCCTTAGATGAAGAGACATTGATCTTCTTGGAGCACGGGTTTGGAATACAGACTCATGGGAGACTTCACGATTTGTGGTCTGTAGTAAAAACAAAGCGAAAATTGTCACAAAACTAACCATGGTTAAGACTTATGAGTTAATTAAAAAAACATGGTTATGGGCCCACCTCGGAAACAATTGACTTCACCTCTAGATTAGAATCATCATAAAATCTACCATTTTTATCTGAATCATCCGTGCTAATTAACTGCAACAAGAATCCAAATGATCATTTAAAGATAGAATTAAAAAAGAAGATGCTAATTAGCTTACATTCAAACATAATAAAAACAAATCATACCTTCATCAATTCTTGATCATGCCAAGGACCTTTGTCTGACCTCAAGCATCCACCTTCATTAGGGCATGAACATGTTCCACCAAGAAAACTGGGTAATTGGCTGTAATTACACAACTAACACTTAACAACCCCATTAAATCAATATAAACTTAATGTATAAAAGATGCAAAAAAGAATATCATCAACCTTGAATCGATAACTTCCAACAACTTGTTCTGATACTTGGTGCCAAGAACCTGTAAAATTACTTAAGAATCAAATCAAGATTCAGTGTTGTATAAAATTTGAAAAAAGTCAAAATCTTTGTGATCATTACATGTATTTTCGATGTTGTTCTTGGATCAAGAAACCCTTTTGCAGTATTCCATAATAACTTGAACCCGTTACCCGCATTAACAATGTACATTTGATGTAATGTCTGAATTACCAAAAAAATAAAAAAATCAGAAACATTATCCAACACAAACAAAAGAAAAATCTTGTTAAAAAGGCATCAAAGTTAGCACCTCAGGATAGTTATCTCCATCTATTCTTTGCATCTGCATAACCAAATCATGTGCAACTTTCCCAAAACTCATCCAATTCTACAAAAAAACAGACAAAAAAAGTTCAGATTGCAGAGCCACCTTAAACTTTCTATAAATAGAAATAAAGGGTAATAATCTGATCTAAGTATCTAACCATGCCATGAACATCCAATATGGTTGTGCAAGAATCTATATGTCTTCTAGCAGCAACAGAACATGCTGGAAACTTCTCGGAAAAAGCTTTCTCAAAACCTTGTACATGGTACCTTAAAAACCTGTCAACCGTTGTGACATTCATAAGCTTAGTGGGGTCCACTTTTCCTAGTCTTTCAATGTAAATAGGTCGTCCCTCTTTGTCTACCCCATGATACCCGTGTGGATAGTAGCTTTGAACCTCTTCATATTCATTATATACAAAATCCTAAAAGACAAATGATATGTTAAATAGTCGCATGATTTTGTCATGTTTACATATTTTCTATAAAATCAATATTTTTGCATAGACACGTAAATGAATAGTAACAAAAAAAGAGCACCTTTAAGATAGAATCAGCGCCAAAGTCTTTCCTCCAATTGAGCATTTCAGTCCACATTTGAAATGCCTTGTCAATATCGAATTTCCTTGCCTTCAAGAATCTGTAACCATGTTTATATTCAAGAAAGTACACCATGAATAGTGCTTAATTTCCTTTTTTGGAAACTTGTAAAGTCAAACTCAACTTCAAATCCATTATCATCATTACAAAGAGACTAATCGTATTTGGTTTTTACCGACTTTTGTTTGGACTTATCGAAGGGTATTCCAGACATCTCAAAATCAATCACACACTTTTAATAAAGTGTATTAAGTCAAACAATGCAATTTTCAACAATATCATACACAAAAATCTAGAACTTTAGCTTGATTACGAGATGCCCATCAATGTTCTACACGAGAGATGATTTTTGACTTTTAAAGTCGAGATTATTAATTTCAGTTTCAAAATTGATAAGGATTTCAGAACAATTGTGGCGATAACTTCTTTGTATTTGTAATACTAAACATAAATCACAATATTTTCATCAAATTCGCATCATATTTTAGTTGAAAAAAACTTTAGCCGACACAAAATTAGATTTTTTTTATCGACAAATTGAGATAATATCAAGGATTATACCTTAATAACGTGTGGTAATCATCATGACGATGAGGAAGTAAGTCTTTTTCAATCAAGAGTTGGCGAAAAGCATTCACTACCTTCTCTTCCTCTTCATCTCTAACATCATCTATTGAAATTGAAGCAAACTGGCAATTTGAAACACGCTTATTAATTCTTGGTTTGAGTGCGTTTAAAGGTCTTGTTGATGCTACCATTGCTTTCTTCTTCAAAGATCTAACTCGAGTCCTTCTGTTATCATCCCCAAATGTCCCCAAATGACTGCTCATATCTTCTTGATTCAAGGCTATGACATAATAACAATAAATAATTAGATAATAAAAATAAGTAAACAACCATTTGATTGGTCAAATGAAGAACATTGAATTCATCTCAATATTTAATTAAACTACTTCAGAACAAATTACCTGGCATTATACGGCAAAATTTGTAATTGGAGTTTACAAGAACTCCGCATCAATTGAAAAACCCGAAATCCCCCAATTGGAACTCTGCATTCAGTGACACGATTATATTACAGTGGGGTTAGATCTAGAAAGATTCGTCGTTTTAAAACCTTGATCATTCAATCGGTGAAATAAATTATTCAAAATTTCGAAAAGGGTATGAAGAATCTGAAAACATTTAACAACCAAAAAGGATTATTAAATCGATCAAATCACAACCCATAAAGAAACAACAATTCCATAATCAAATATCTGAGTAAAGCAGAAGACTGGAAAGTACCTCAAAAGAACCCACATTCACAAGATCGGAGGAATCAATCAAGAACCGAATAATCTTTATATATATGTGTGTGATCGAATCCACAAAACGCAATAGTTCTAGGTGAAATTGATTATTGGAATCAACAAGAAGAGTGTGTAATTACTAATTAGTTGGGTATGAGAAGCTTGAAATGCGTTTGCTTTGTCAATACTCTCTCGCTGTAAAGAAACAGTCTTATATGTAAACAAAACGAAAGATTTGGAGGGTTGTCTTCTTTATTGGCCTTTAATTTGGGGAATACTAATAACCATTGGGATGTGGCATGTGTCCTCGGGGAGCTTGTTACTTGTACTTTCAAATATCACCGGCCCACAAATAAAAAATTAATAAATTTTGTATTTATTAAAATATAATGTTATGAAATAATTAGGTTAGATACTAGTAAAAAAGCTATTGCATTTATTTTTTACACTGAGTGCTATATAGATTTACTTTTTATTTGTTTGGTAATGGAATCATGTTTTATATGTAGGTGATTGTAGTCGGTCAGACGCACTTTTTTTTTTATATTTTATTTATTATTTTTTGTAGGATGTTTTTTGGGGAAACAACTTCGACTGTCTACCATTTTACTTTTCTTTATCCTATTTTTTATATTACGTGTAGTATTACATTTGTACATTTTGCAATGTATTAGCATATGTTCATATATTTTTAGTTGATATAAGTATTACATACATGATTAAAATAAGCAAACAGGAAAACTAGTGGTTTTGCATTAGATTAGGTATGTTTTTTTGGAAAAGCATTTTGGTAAAAAACCTATGTAATTTTTTATAGTTAGGAGTATAGGTTGCTAAAAAAGTGTAGGGGTATGTTTATTAATATTTTAAGAATATGTATTCTTTTGATTACATGTTTATATGATATCTCATATAAGTAATGGACAATAAATATTGTTTGTTAAGTATGTTGAATAAAATATATGTTTCTGGAAAATAATGGTTATAGAAAATCAACAATGCTTGAAAAATATTAGCAATTAAACTTGCAAACTGACAAAAAAATATCGTTTGATGAAAGTTAATTGGTGTAAAAAATCATAAAAGTTTATGTAGAAAAGTGATTCGAAATTATAAGATAAATACATAATTTCATTAAATTAAAATAACTACTAGATAAATGCTTTGCACAGTATTATTGTGAATTTATTTATTTTGAGGCGACTCTCTAATGTTATTATGAATAAATCTTGTTTGATCATCTAATTCTTCTATTCTATTGATAAACAATGTTAAAAATCATGTTCATTAATTTACTTCTTCACCTTCCTCATAGTTTACTTTTGTTTCGTTTTTAGTCCCCGTCAAAGGTAAAACAACTATTCATTTTTTAAGTTTTTCTTACCATATATTTATCATAAATAATCTTTAAAGTTAATAGTCTTACCCCTCACTTGCCTTAGATGCACAATGTTAGCCGTCTCCATGGTTTATTTTTGTTACGGTTTTAGTCTCCGTCAAAAGTAAAATAATTAATTATAATTATTTTTTAAATATTTTATCATTTATTTATCACTATAATATTTAAGTTTAAAAGACTTACCCTCAACGATCTCTTTCTTTCTGTATCACCATTGTCCAATACAACCGTGTCATTCCCCCCCCATATATCATTTCCAGCGTCGTGTGATACTTTACCTAGTCGCCCTCGTCATCACACAACGCTACCTCTTACCGTTTAATTTTAAAAACTATAATATAGAAACAACTAGAGAAAATTTTGATAGGTACTACTTCCTTATCTTGTGTTTATTAAAGATCAATCTCAAAATAAATCAAAACACATCAATAGTCAACATTACAATTGAAAAAAATAGATGTTATTTAAAATAAACAATATAACCCATAAAGACTATTTAATTTTCAGTTGAATAATTTATAGAGTTATATATATTAAAGTTATATTTTATATAACTTCCAGTCATTTTAACTTTTTCATTTTATTTTACTCTCGTTATTAATAAAATAATTCTTGCATTTATTTTTTATGGCTAATAACATAAAAGTCACTATAGTTTGACTAATATCCGGTTTAACCGTCCTACTTTTTGTTCTAAAAAAGCCACTCTTACTTTAAAAAAAACAGACAAACAAATCCCAACCATTCTTACTTGTTGCTGATAGTTTTGTAAGTTTTTTATTCTATAGAAACCACTCATGTTTACAAAAGTTTCATTGCGACCATCATTAAAAAAAAAATTATGACTTATTTTTTCTCCAAAAAAAAAAACTTGAATATATCAACATTTATAATTGTTAGGTGCATTTCATGTACCCATTTTGTAGCTTTATTTCATAAAAGTACATTGCATATAGGCTTAAACTCATGCATTTTCCATGTTTTTCGGAATTTTTCATGAGGCAATTTCATTCAAATACTTTTGTGATATTTCAGGGACTTTTGGAGGTAGGATATTGTTGGAGGAGGTAAATAAAAGTTGCGGACAAAATTTCAGGACTTGCGGAGCACCGAGGAGCAAGATATCAAAGAAATGAAGATTTTGGCTTTACAGAGATTTACACGGCCGTGTAAATGCAAGCCTTGCGTTTACGCGGGCCGTGTAAACGTAGATTTCTGCACAGTATATTTTTGCGTTTATGCGGGCCGTGTAAATGACAGTGTTAATTGTAAACGTAAATGCGGGTTTTAAAGCCGTTTTTCACCATTTTAAAGGGGGGAACCGACTTTTTTACTTTGGGGGGTCGACTTTTGGAGTAGAGAAGGCGATTTTCTTGAGGATTTTGAAGTTGATTAACACTTGGGAACATTTGATTTCATTTTGTAAGAACTTTTATTTCATTTTCTAGATTTGTGATCTTGTTCTAGTCATGAGTGGCTAGAACCCTAGATTCTCCAACTTTATGTCTTGACTTCTAGTTGTGATTTCAATCATATGACTTGATGTTTTCTTTCAATTTTCTATCTAGTGAATTTGATTTTGTTTCAATCGAATGTTTGATTCTAATTGTGATCTTATTGGCCATTTGAATTAGGGTTAGATCATTCAAGTTATCTAATTGCAAAATCCGTAATTGTTTTGTAAATTGGACTAGGTAACAAGCACTAAACTGATTTCTATTGAATGAATTTAGTGTAAATCTTATTCACACATTCTTATGCTCCCGAGCTTATGAGGAGTATTGAGTGTTGTTGGGAACATTCACATAAAGTTTAATGCAATCTTTCAACCTAATTCTAAGAGTTTGTTTAGATTAGATTCGTAAGGTTAGGATTAATCAAAGAGCTTGTTTTGGTTAATTATTGTGGTGAATGGGAAGTGTTAGAGCTTGTTAACACTTTCAAGTACCAACTTAGATAGAATTAAACAAATATTTTGTCATCCATGGAATCACATTGCTAATTTGTCTTGCATAGAGTTGGAGTACTTACAAATCTTGAACTTATTTCACTTAATCAATCATTTACTTATTGCTTTATTTTATAGTTTAAATCATTGCTTATAAATTCCCCCCATTCTGTGACCATTTTTGTACCTTACGCAAAAAGGTATAAGCACTTGTCCCGTGTCTCTGTGGATCGACCCTACTTACCTTGTACTACGTTTTTAGTGCATAGTAGTAGTGTTTAAGGAGTCATTTGTACCCTTTATTTGTTGGGTTTGACACGCCTAACAATAATCTCATGTACTCTGTAAACAAACATTTGTATTCACGTTTGCACACAAATGTTGGAACTTCTTTGCAATGAGATATTATATGCCAAGTCTATACATGTGAATTTTGGTTTACTTAAAGCATCTCCAACCTCGTTATATTTTTTCCATTACACTTTATTTATAAAGTGTAAAATAAAGTAAAAGCTATGATTCATCTCTATTTTACACTCTATAGATAGAGAAATAAATAGTGATACTCTAAATTTGGAGTCTAAACTATATCTCTCACCCATTATATTTTTACACACTATATTTATAATGTAAAATAGAATTTAGAGTGAGGTTAGAAATGAAGTACTCTAAATTCTATTTTACGCTCTAAAAATAAAATGTGGTTGAAAATTCTCTTAGTGTAAAAAAAAAAAAAAAAAAAATTGCCATATGGTGAGTGAAGATGTGTCCAAGTGGATCCATCAAAACGTTGAATGTATGTGAGAACAAAAGAGGTTTTTTTCAAAATAAAAGAGTTATCATAAAAAACATCGGTCTTGTTTGTACGGTATAATTCAAATATTTACTAACCACAACAGCTTAAAAATTAATATCAAGGCAACCTTGTTATGTTGCATGAGAAATATGTACAAAAGAAAAATTATAAATATTTATACACATGTTTGTTGATATATTTATAATTTCTATACATTTCAATAATACCAATAACCCTGCTTTTTTATAATTATTCTGTAATATCTATATAAATTTGTATTTTATTTATGTGTTCCCCGCGTTTAACGCGGGTCATAATCTAGT